CTCAATAACAATTTCCAGAGCAAAGATACATTTCTTTCAAAAGTGGCTATAAAATTTTTAGGTTCGCTGTTGAATTAATACAGTTATACAATATTGAACTCAGTGTAAGCCCTGTAAGACATAAAATTGAATGAGTTTTTAACCTTTAAAAAAGATCTACATTTCATTTTAGAATATATTGTTCCTTGCAGAAAGACTCATTGTTTCTGCTGCTGAGATGTTGGTGTATGCGTCTCTAATCTGTATGTATCTATTACTAGTCATAATCGGTTGCACTTGTTATTATTTTTATTTGGACACCTGATTATCTTTTGCCAGCTATGTATTTAAGGAGACACTTATGTTATACTTCTCATTGTACTGAGAGGGCTTTGCATTATATACTCTGTGTTTTTGCTGAAAAGGGAAGTCTTTTTTTTTTTTTTTTCGGTCTTTGAGACAGAGTCTTTCTGTAGCTACAGCTGGCCTGGAACTCCCTATGCAGACCAGGCTGGCCTCCATCTCACAGAGATCTACCTGCCTCTGCTGGGATTAAAGACATGCACCACCATGCCTGCCTATCTTGAGTTTTTATAGTGAATGGTCTTCAAAGATAAACCAGGAACAGTTGAGCACAAGGTTATCGACCTACTTCAGCCAACAAAAAATACCAAGTGATAGCTAGTCATTTATCTCTCAGAGTTAGATGGTCTCATAATTGCATTAATAATAATACATTTTATTGTAATGATAAATTTTCACTTTCATAAACCTTAATCACATCTTTTAATACTCCAATGATAATATCTCTTTATGTTGGTCCTTAGACATTCAGTGTAAGTCTGTAGTCATACGACCCTGAACATGCCAGATCTCATGATCTTGGAAGCTAAGCAGGGTCGGGCCTGATTAGCACTTGGATGGCAGATATCCAAGTTAAGCAAGTCTCACCTTGTGCTAGATTATAGATCGCATAATGATGGTGCATTATTCTAGGGCTCCTTTCCCAAATCTAAGCCCTAGATATGGTAGGCATGTTCTGAAGTTAGGAGCTTCTAAATACATTTAATGGATGAAGTTATGGAAACTGGAACTAACTTACAGTTACAGTATTTTCAAAGTTTTCATATAGCCCCAAAGCACACAAGTCCTAACAACCATTCACACGAAGCGTAAGGACACGCCTGTTTCTATTCCCAGGACCTGTGACTCAGGATTTTTTATCAAGTTGTTTTACAGAGTCTAAGACGGGCAAGGAGCCCTGGCCTACTCTCATGTCTGGAGTTCAAGAGCTTCTTTATCACTCACCTCCCATTCTAAGCAGAGTCAGAATCCATTCTGGCATTTTCTTTCCCTTACTCTGCCATTTGGATGCTGTGATAGGTGGTACAATACAAAGAACAGTAAAACGTGGCTCTTCCCGTCTGGAAGCTCACAATGATCAGACATGCCCAGTCAGGGCCTCTAGTTTCCAGCCACCCATTTTCCTTCCTTGTTTTCTGCCTGAAATGCCAGCCAACCCAACGCACTTCCTCATGGCGCAGTGAGTATAGACTGTGCCCGGCTTGTTGCAGCCAACTCATCCATCCTGTTCTCTTGGGTTCATTAACTAGGTTTCCGAATCTACCTTGAGGATGAGAAGATTGAGTGTCTATAAGTTGTAGATTAAATGATAGGAAAAGAATAAAATATATGCCATACTGTTTGGACTCAAGAGGACATGTGCTAGTTCCTGTCCACTACATTGACATCACCTTGTTTTGACATTTCTTCACCACTCATCAAATTATTGCAGAGTCCTCAGGCTCACTTGCCTCCTCCACGTTCTCCTGACTGTAGTTTGTTCTCTACACTCTTACTGAAAGCAGCCTCAGTAATGTACCCACTGCACAGACCCTCAGTGCCCTACCCCACTACCCAGAAGGGTAGCAAGTCTTCCAAGGAGAAACCTTCCAATCACATCCACCATTTTTAATGAGTGACACCAACACGATTCCTAGAATATATGCCAAGGGGTCATATATGTTTATTCATTTAGTTCCAAGTTATTTAAGGAAATCAACCAACCCAAAGCTATTCAACTGAAAATAAGATAGGTAAAAGGGGCCTGGAGAGATGGCTCAGCAGTTAAGAGCACTGACTGCTCTTACAGAGGACCTGGGTTCAGTTCCCAGCACCCATATGGTGGTTAAGAACCATCCTTAACTCCAGTTCCAGGGGAATCCCTCTTCTGACCTCCACGGCATTGCATGACATGGGTGCACTCACATACATGCAGGCAGTACACTCAGACACATACAACAAAAATAATAAATAAAATATTTTTTAAAAAGATAGTTGAAAGTACTATTTGATTAAGAAGAGTAATTCCCAGGGTCAGGTATGGTGGCTCAAGCCTTTAATCCCAGCGGTTGGAACGCTAAGGCTAATGTAGGCAGATCTCTGTAAGTTTCAGGCCAGCCTAGTCTGTGGAGAGTTCCAGGCCAGCCGAGGCTACGTAGTGAGACCCTGTCATAAACAAACAAACAAACAAACAAATCTTATCTCCAACACCTTACTTCTTAGATGTTGAGAGTTCCCCTCTATTTTGCTCCATAGGACTCATTTTCATCCAATTCTGAGCCGCTTTAGAACATTAGACAAATGGAAACAACCTAAATATCTCAGAGTGATGAGGCAGCTGAAGCTTAATCACAGCTCTAACAATAAAGAATTGTTTAGCTATGGGGGCTGGGCAGATGGCTCAGTGGTTAAGAGCACTGGCTGTTCATCCAGAGGACCTGGGTTCAGTTCTCAGCACCCATCTAGCAAGGGACAGTAACTCCTGTTCCAGGGAATCCGATGCCCTCTTCTGGTCTCCTTGGGCATTGCATAACCCGGGTGCACTTAGATATACACACATAAAAAATTATTTAGCTGGGTACAGTGGCACACTCTCAGCACTCAGGATGCTGAGAGTAGGGGGTAGAGTCAGTTCTCATCTTCCACCCTGTGAGAGAGTTTTCCACCTTGTTTGAGAAAAACTCTCCCTTTCTTTGGTTTCCCACTGTGACCTTCCCAGGATTCTCCTGTCTCTGCCTCCCATCTCCCCCTTACTGTGCTGTGCATCTGGTTTTTCCATGGGTTCTGGGATTAGAATTCAGGTTCCCACACCTGCATGACAAGTGCTTTCACCCACTGAACCACCTCCTCACTCCCACCCCCCCTTTTTTTTTCTTGCTTTTAGATCTCACTATGTAGCCCAGCCTGGCCTTGAACTCTCAATCCTCTTGCATCAGCCTCCCGAGTACTGGGATTACAGGTGTGTACCTCCACCCGGAATTTTCTGTTGATACAAGTTACAAGAATGAGGTCTCAGAAGAGTTACTGAGCTAAAGTACCCAAACAAGAAAGAGCACATACTGTATAATTGCATTTCTATAAAATTCTAGAAAGTGCAACAAATCATTGCCAAGAAAGCAGGCTTGTGGGGGGGGGCACAAGATTATGGGAGGGTGTGAAGGAACTGGTAGTGACAGATATGTTTCCTCTCTTGATTTGCGGTGATAGTTTCAAGAGTATACAAGTTTAACTAGAAACTTAACAAGTTATACACCTCAAATATATGCAGTTTACCGTCTGCCAGTTATGCCCCAGTAAAGCCGTTAAAACAAAGAAACAGATGCCACGTGATGGCAGGTAGCACCCTGGCAAGGTCAAAGATCGAGGCTGCCGTAAAGTGCCTGAGCTGTGGTGGCCTTGTTCCAGTGTTCCCTGTGATCCAGGTAGACACCTCCCCTTGGCAGGGAGGACAGCAATTACATTTCACTTTCACATTACCTAACGGAGGTGTCCAGCTGCAGGATATTTCTAGCCTCTCAGGAACCATTCTTTGCTAACCAGTGGAGAGGAACTTACCGAGTAACTCAGCTTCACAGATGGAGGGTGGGGGCCCAAGAATCACAGTTTCAGGAAAACGAAACTTCATAAAACCCTGATGGAGCCAACCCCAGTAGCAACTGTGAGTGGTTGACGCTGACTGAATCCCAAGGAGACTGGATTTGGATGTCAATCACTGGGAATCTTGCTTTAAAACACACACGGGGAAAAAGGATTGCTAACGCACATGGATGTCCACAGGTGGCGGCCAGTGATTCCCTCATCCCCCGAATCATGTGCACATTTTGCAAGTATGCGCTTTTACGCACTACTTTTCTGGACAGAGAGCAAGTAGACTTTATCACACTCTCAAGAACTTGACTGTAAGGTGAAGCATCACGGACTGGGCCACCGCTAAGACGCATCTGTCCCTTCGCTTTCCTTCGGGATCACCGGAAACACAACTCTAGAAACCGCACTCATTTGTTTTTTTTTTCCTTCCCGACAAGAGTAGGTCTAGGCGATCCGTTTCGGAACACACCAAAAAGGACCACCGGCTTCGCCGCTACCCTCTGCCAGGGGCTACAGTCTCCACCACCCCAACCATCCCAGCTCCAGGTTTTCTGCCCATTTAAGAACTAGAAGAGGTTTCCTAGGTGTGCAACCTGCCCGACACGCTTTGTTCCTTCGGAGGAGCACAGTCCTATACCGAGTCTTTCCATCTAATTTGCTTTGGCCTGAAAGTCACCGGGACCTTTATCCCCTCAAGCCCCTCCTGGAACCGCACGGGCAGGACTCCCGGCCGGGTGGGCTCACAGAGACGCGGTCGCATTGCTCCAAGTACCCCAACTCTGCGCCCTGGTTGCCAAGCGGGACTTCTCAGACCTGTCGTCCTCCCCAGGTCTCAGAATCGCCATCCGGGGGCTCCCGGGAGCACCGCAAGTGGCCACTCTCTGGACTGCGCTCTCCGCGGCTGCCAAGCCGCCGCCTCCACGTGTCCTTCCCGCCCAGCGCCGCGCCCTCTCCCAGGTCCCTGCTGGAGCACCGCGACCTCCCTAGACAGATTCCTGGCGCGGCCTGGGAAGATGCGACGCGGGGGTCAGGTCCCGCTGGACGCGCGGGTACCCCTGTGGTTCCCCGCGTGTGCGAGCGCAGCTCCCTACCGGGTGTCAGCGGCGGCGTCAGCAGCAGCAGCAGCAACAGCACCACCAAGGCGCGGAGGGCGTGGACTGCACTGCTCGGGAGCTGCGGCGGGGCCATGGCCGCGGGTCCCCGCGGGGTCGCCGGGACACCAGGCCCGGGCCCCCGGGACGTAAGGAGCGCAGCTCTGGGACTGTCCTGCCGCCCGGCGCATTCGCTTTCGCTTTTGCTTTAGCCCCCGGAGGGCTGCGGAGAGGTGAGGAGCGGTGACAGATCTGTGACTCAGCATCCCCACCCCTGCTTTGGATGAAGCCCCGGGGGCCGCAGCGACCCCCCGACGCCAGTGCTCGGGTCCCCAGGAGCGCGGGACCCCTCTCCTTTTCGCTCCTGGATACTGGGGACTCCCAAAGTTCATAGGGCCGGGAGCTGTCCCCACCCCAGAGGCCAACAAATTTGGGTCCACAGACTTCGCTTCAGCTTGTCACCAGGTCGCTTGTCCCTTGCCCTCGCTTCTGTCCCGCAATACCTCGGGCTGCAGCTTTCAAAGTTTCCCTCTGGGTGGCCAGAGCTCGGGCCGTCCGCGGTCTGGTCTGTGGGTGACAGCGGAGATGTCGCCCCAGCGCGGACGCCTCTGGGCAATGAATCGTGGCCAGGTCACTTTCCCAGTGCGCTCAGTCCCCAAGAAGGGATCACAGCCTTGGCTACCTGCCTGCTGCGGCCACTGGACGCTCGGGTCAGGCCAGGGTGCTTTTGCCGTATTCCTGCCGCACCTTTCCAACCCAAGTAAATGCCAAGAGTTGCAACAGGGAAAAGAGGGAGGGAGGAAGGGGCGGAGGAGCGGGAGGAGCTGGAGAGGAGGAAGAGGATTAAGGAAACAGAAATACCTCAGTGTCTCATTTCTATAGACAAGTTTTTTTTTTAATTTAATTTATTATTTATATTTTATGTGTATGAGTGTATTGCCTGCATGTATGTGAGTGCACCCATGTCGTGTTTTTTTCACCCATGTCGTGCAATGCCGCCAAGGTCAGAAGAGGGCTTCGGATTCCCCTGGAACTGGAGTTAAGGTCGGTTGGTAGCAGCCATGTGGGTGCTGGGAATCGAACCTGGGTCCTCTGCAAGAGCAGTTAGCTCTTAACTGCTGCCATCTCTCCAGCCCCAAGGTTTTTTTTTGGAGCCAAACCAAGACAAAGTTTTTTTTAGGTCTTACCAAACTTCCCCTTTTAAGGTTTTGTTTTTTGTTTGCTTTTTAAAAAAAATTGAACTTTCTTGGAATTTAAAGTCAAGCCCCATGTTGTGGAGAGTGATCTGCCTTGGGAAAATGCAGGGTGTTCAGTCAGAAATGCCTAGTTCTAGATGTGGAATTAGAATGACCAGACCTGCATGACCCAGGTTCGATTCCCAGCACCCACATGGCTGCTACCAACCGTCCTTAACTCCAGTTCCAGGGGAATCCGAAGCCCTCTTCTGACCTTGGCGGCATTGCACGGAATGGGTGTACTCACATACATGCAGGCAATACACTCATACACATAAAATAAAAATAATAAATTAAATTAAAAAAAAAACTTGTCTATAGAAATGAGACACTGAGGTATTTCTGTTTCCTTAATCCTCTTCCTCCTCTCCAGCTCCTCCCGCTCCTCCGCCCCTTCCTCCCTCCTTGGCTAACAGTCGTCTGTAACTCCAGTTCCAGGGGAATACAAAGTGGCTTTCTGACCTCTGAGGGCATTGCATGACATGGGTGCATTTACACACATGTAGGCAAATACACTCATACACATAAAATAAAAATAAAGAAAATTATAAAAAAAAATTAGGCAGGCTGAACTTGGGCCAGGGGCCCAAGCCAGTAACCAGTGTTCTATCACAGCCTGTGCTCCAGCTCCTGCCTCCAAGTTCCTGCCCTGAGTTCCTACCTTGGGCTCCCTGATGAACTGTGACCCAGGAAATGCAAGATAAAATAAACACTTTCCTCCCCAAGTTGGTATCGGTCAGAGTATTTTGTCACAGCAATGAGAAACAAATTAGAACAGGGCTTTTCTGAGACAGAGCCCAACTTCATTCTTTTTTAAGTATCATATATAGGATTTTGGTGAGTTTTAAAGCCATTCCCTTTAAAGGGTTGTGAAGGAACCTAAATGAGATCACTGGGTGGTTCCTGGGGGCACCAAACAGGATTACAATAGATGTAGTAAAAGTTTAGATCTCAGGAATGCAGGAAAGTAGACCATCTTTACTCGAAACAAAGTTGTCTTCTTGGAGATTCTCAGACAATGTCTGGGGAAAGGAATGAACCCAAAGCCACATACGTTAGGTCTTGACCTGGTCCATTGTTACCTTAACATAAAGTATCTATACACCAAAGAAATATTATTTCTATGTTAGCAACCTTTACAGAAAATGTTGATTGTGTTGGGATTTTTGCTTCTCAGGTGGCAAGAGGCTTTAAAAATTTTCATTTATTTGAATTTTTAAAAAATTTTATTTATTTTTATTTTATGTGTATGCGTGTATTGCCTGCACGTAGGTAAGTGCACCCGTGTCGTGCAATGCCCGCGGAGGTTGAAAGAGGTTGTCAGATCCCCTGGGACTGGAGTTATAGACAGTTGTTAGCTGCCATGCTGGGATTCAAACCTGCATGGTCTTCTGCAAGAACAACCAGTGTTCTTAACCACTGAGCCATCTCTCCAGCCCCCCATTTATTTGAATTTTATGTGTATGAGTGTTTTGCCTGCATGCATGTACATGTTTCACATGTGTGCAGTATCCTGAAGGCAGGAAGAGGGTGTCAGATCCCCTGGAACTGAAGTTACAAATGGTTGTGAGTCTCCATGTGGGTGCTGGGAACTGAACCCAGGTCCTTTGCAAGAGCACCAAGTTCACTTAACTGCTGAGTCATCTCTCCACCCAGGTGTCAAGAGGCTTTAACTAGACACTTAGGTGAGGGGCTCCTTGCTGATCTCACATCCCCCTAATTTTTCCTGTCTTAAGTGCATGCCTCAAAAAAGCAAACCAAGCCAAATCCAGCCAAGCTAGCAACAAACAAGAAAACTAAAGGGGTAGGGATGCAGCTCAGTTGGTACAGTGTTTCTGTAGCATGCAGGAGGCGCTGGGTTCCATCTTTAGCACTGTATAAGCTCAGCATGGTGACACACCCCTGTAATGCCAGCACTGAGGAGGTGGATCAGCAGTTCAAGGTCATCCTTAGCTACATAGAGTTCAAGGCTAGTCTGAGCTACATGAGACCCTTTCTCAAAAACTGAACAAAACAAAACTTTAGCAAAACAAAAAAGTAGTTGTAGCTAAAATTCCATCTCGGACGCCCAAATGACACCCATCCTCCCTCCTCTCTTGATTCCTACGACAAGCCGAGGTCTGATTTTGTCATACTGCAGTCTGAGAAACCAGTGAGTTTATTGGACTTAAATACAGAGCATTGGGTGAGGGTTTCCTTACAGAGTGTGGGTGATCCCCTCCTAAGGCCACACTGGAAGGTCTTCATCCAAGTGTGGATGGTGACATCCCCACAGCTACACAAAATGTCGAAAGCCCCTCCCCACAGCTTCCTCAGTTTATATACCATTAGCCTCGTCCCCTCATGCAGGCAGGGGTGAGGTGTGGCTGGGAGTGTGGCTGCCTCTCCCTGCCCCTCCTTTCTTTTTGAGAGTAGAAGTCAACGAGCTTAGCTGTGATGATCCTAGGCAAGCAGGTGCAGTCAGGCTTGGGAAGATGGTGTCTGCGGATGGTCTGCCTGTCGGAGGACAGTACTATGCTATAGTAGTAAAGTGAAATCCACTTACTTATTACCTAGCCAGTTGGTGAGCACAGGAAGTCCACTGTTTCATCCTAGCAGGAATGGTCCCCTCTAACTGAGACCAACCCAGATGTCGTTTCATTTCTTCTCTAAGCACTTAAGCATATATCTAGGGATGATATGGTCAAATGAGAAATAAACATGATTCTTTAATAATATCAAACATATTCAGGTTCTACCGAATGCATGCTAACCATACTGAGAAAAAATACTGGCTCCTGAGCTGAGCATAGTGACACGTGCCTGTACTCCCAGCACTTGAGAGACAGAGGATGGAGGAGGCAGTTCAGTGCCATCTTTAGTCATGCAGAGAGTTCGAGGCCAATCTGGGCTACATAAGACCCTTCAAGTAAAATAATTTCTTTTTATATTCTACGAGGTAGGGTTTTCCCTATTGACACCAATATTTCTGGTCTGGGCGGAGACCTTTGTGGTAAAAATGGGATGTATCTATTAATCCACTTAGGAGGGCTGATTATCCCTCAGGGAGGCAGGACAAGTCTTAGGAAGGAAGGCAGGCTCACTTAAGCCGTACTAAAGATACAGGTGGCGTAATTATCCATTTAATGAGATGCTATACTTTTCCTTCCCTGAATTCCCACCCCCAATGCAGTCTCTTACAGATGCAGTCAGGCCACTGCTTCGGTCCATGCCCGACTTTTCTGAATTACTCGGAAACACCACAGCCACCTGCCTCTCTCCTTTTTTCCTCTTCTGTGCTTTCTGCCAACTTTGTCCCTTCAAGAATGTTTTATAAATAGAATCACAGACTAAACAGCCTTTAGGAGGTCATCTTTTCATTAAGGGTTATTCCCTTGAGAGTCATTCAAGTTGCTGCGTGTATAGTTGTTTCATTTTTATCGATATTTAAAAAATACTTATTTTATGTGTCTGAGTGTTTTGCCTGCATGAATGTAAGAATACCACATGTGTGCAATGCCCATGGAGGCTAGAAGAAGGTGTTGGATCCCCTGGAGCTGGAGTCATGGACTGCCTTGTGGGACACCAAAGGGGGACGAAGAACCGTGGTTCAACACTAAGGGATCCTTCATCTCCTTCTCTTTATTCTTTGTGTCAATTGTCTTTCTCTTGCTGGGACAAAATACTGGAAACAGCTTAAAAGGAGGACATATTTATTTTGGCTAATGTTTTCAGTCCATGCTTACCTGTTTCCATCAGTTTGGGCCTGTGGTGAAACAGAGTATTATGGTGGGGACCGTGTGAGAGAGCAAAACTACTCACTTCATGGCAGCTGAGAAGGAGAGGGAGAGAGAGGGGGAGAGAGAGAGAGAGAGAGAGAGAGAGAGAGAGAGAGAGAGAGGATTCCAGTATTGCCTCCAAGGATACGCCCCCAATGACTTCACTTACTCCCATCAGGCCTACTTCTTAAGTCCTACCAGCTCACAACAGAGCCATCAGCTAGGGGCCAAACCTTTAATAGAATATACCAGCCTTCGGGTGATTCTGAATGGGGATGGGGAGAGGGCACAGTTGGTAAAGTGCTTGCTGTGCAAATACCAGGACCAAGTTTGGATCCCCAGCATCTGCATTAAAAGCCAGGCATGGCAGGGTGCATCTCAACCCCAGCACTAAGCAAGCTGAGGCCAGCGGGATCACAGCAGCTTGCTGGCCAGCTTGTTTGGCTGAATAGGGAAGTGTCAGGTTCAGTGAGAGACCTGTGTCAAAAAATTACATGGACGGCAATTGAGGAAGACACCCAATGTTCACCTCTGGCCTCCATACACAGGCAAACATATTTTTCTATACCCCCTCATGTGAACATGTATACACACAACACACACATACAAAGACAACCTCTTTCTCTTCTTCACTTCCTCCTATTCCTCCTCCTTTTCCATCTTCATGTTAAAAATTTCAGTCAACTTATCATTCATTTGACAATGCACCACTTTAAAGTGAACAACCCAGTGCTTCTTAATGTTTTCAAATATCATGCCATCATCTTCACCACTAATCCCAGAATA